TCTACTTTTTCCACCTCTCATTTCAGTGTGTTACGCAGTTTTACAGATACAATGAGTGGGTGTTGGTCTCTTCTCCCGAGTAACTAGTGGTAGGACGAGACAAAATGGCCTCAGGTTGTATCAGGGGAGGCTTAGATTGGATATTAGGAAAAATTTCTTTACTGAAAGAGTTGGAAGAGGCTGCCCAGGGAAGTGGTGGAGTCACCATCCCTGGAGGTGTTCGAAAAACGTGTAGATATGGCACTTCAGGACATGGTTTAGCAGGCATGGTGATGTTGGTTTGATGGTTGGACTTGATGATCTTAGAGGTCTTTTCCAACCTTAATGATTCTATGATTCCCTGGTGATGTAGATCACTGTCATGAAGAAGAATTAAAAATAGTGTATAGTTCACAACAGGTTGCTTTTTGTGTAGAAGATGCTTAGCTGTTACAATGATGGGTGACAATACAATACCTAAGAGAGAGGGATGTTGGAATAATAACTAATGTGAAGATGGGATAAGGGACAAAATATCTTGGCCAAGGTGAAAATATTCTGTACTGTCATGGAGGTGCCTTGTTAACATCCTTATCTCCCATAGGGGCTGCAGCAAAGATTACTGTTCTTGTATGACATTTGACATGGTGATTCAAGTCTTTCACTGGCATTTAGTTTTGAACAGACAGAAAATACTGGTGCTGCAAGTTTAAAGATGAAAACAAAATTTCTACACGCTAGATGTTTATTGTTCTCTTTATTTAGCACATTGGTCAAAACTAAAATTTGATAAGTGAATTATGCTTAGGTCAGATAAGGTCCTAAAGGGTGTCCTATTCACCCTCTTTTTTTACTCTCATTCTTGCTGGAAATATGGTGCTTGGGAGTCCAAGGAACAATGATAGGTAGGGAGATCGTTTCCCATTAGAGGAAGTAATTTTCAATTTGATAAACAAGTTGAAGATGTTCTTGCTATTTTTCTTTTTCTGTGGGTGACAGCACTGGAATCTTTGATATGAGAGTATGTACAGAAACACATCTGTTAGCATTGGAAGACAGAAAATTGATCATCAGTGCTGGTCCTGTTTCATGTGGAGGTGTTTCATTCATCTTTGTTTTTACTGGTGTTTAGGTTCACCTTGTTTGTGGAAAGAGCAATAAATTGGCTTATGTGTCTGAGCCGAGTACTTGTGTTTATTTTCTGACATTTGAGACTCCTCTTGTGTGCCATCCCCACTCTCTTTTAGGTAAGATTTAGAAAATCATTTGTGTATGGAGCAGCTGGCATATTACGCCAACCTCGAAGTGTAAATTTTTAGGTTCTCTGAGTTTGTAACTTGATATAAATGAGTATTAAATGTAACATGTAATGCAAAAGTGTATTTTAATTCCCAATCATTATAACACATAGATACTTCTCACATAAATTGTCATTGCTAGTATAGACCCAGTGAGTGATTTTTGGTTTTTTCTTGGACTGGTTGCAGGAATCAACCCTGTAGTATCTGCTCATTTAGTTACATTACAAAAATTGAGAGCTCGGTTAGAATTACATTCAGCAAAGAAATTTGAAGCCTTGTAGCTGGAAATAGAGAAAAATTTTTGGTCGGTGGCATTTTCCAGAACATTTAAATGTGTGAAGCAGAATTTAAGTTCAAGCCCAACTCTTTAAAGCAGCAGAGACTATGTACTGTATAGAAACATTGTGTTCTTAAAACAAAACGAATACACTTGCATGCTACTAGAGGAGCATTTAACTAATGCAGGGACAGCACTGTTGGGTTTTACCTGGTTTCACTTCCATTTTTCAGTTTATCCAACTCTGACTGAAGCGCTACAAAGGAAGTGGGATGAAGCAGAGCAGCTTCTGTATGATGAACTAATAACTGACCAGGTCTGTTAATTTCTTCCAACTCTATTTGGTAAAGAACAATTACTGTCAAGTAGCCAAACCTGGCCAGTGCAGCTTTTGGAATGGATGCATTTATTCTGCAATTTTTGTGCTCTGTAACTGCTATATCAACTGGTAATGTTTTATACAGTGAAACTTGGGGAATTGGAATGGCCAGTGCAAATTACAAGCAGAGATGAGAGTCGGGTGGATTGATCTGTTGTCTTTTGGAAACTTTTTTAGGGATACAAAAAAGGACTGAAAGAGATTTTTGAGGAAGCGGGACTTCTAAAAGCAACAGAAGAAAAGGAAGTTGAGAAACAGAATAAGAAAATAAGTCTGGAATTTGAAACAGTGGAGAAGTGCAGTAAGGTATAGAGCGTAATATTTAAAATGTGGAATTAAATTGCAACCTTTTTACTGTATGATTGTATCAGTGTGACAGCATTATGTAAATACTCTTTGGATTCAGCTGAAATCTGTTCGTGAGATTATCTTTTCTGGTTTCAATACGTAGCAGTCTGCATACAGAGTGTTCTGAAATCTTTATTCTAGCCCTTATGTCAAAACCAAACCAGCACAACTGAATGCCCAGTAAGAAGACGGGGGTGTATGTAGGAATTAGTGTAGGCGCTTGGGTTATGAACACCTTGTAAGTACTCTTTCTGGGGAATATCGGTCTGGAAATAGGAAAGAAGTACTAGTGAAAATAAATGTGTAACCAGCCTTGGGAATGTTGATGCTTGTCTCTGTGGTTAATTACCCAGACTTGTGTCAGAATGCGTTGGCTGTGACACAAGCAAAAGGCAGTATGATCTATGCTGTGTCCATTTCTGAATGACTTTCACGTGCGTGAACAGTCCTCCTGCAAAAGAATTGAAATGGGGAAAATAGAGGTAGAAGGTGTGCTCAGCCTAAAAGAGTGCAAGCTGAACATCAAAAAAAGGGCACGGAAGGGACTTAATTCACTATAGTACGGAGAAGAAGCTGCTGTTGTCATTTTATTTAAAAATGTAGCTAAGACAAAACATCCATGTAGTAATTCCTGAATATAAGCAAATAAACTGTTGTTAATCTGAATATACTTATATAAAGATCACCATTTTGATGTGGTACTGTTAGGAGTTGGAATACTCACCTTTTTTTTTTTTTTTAGTAGTTAACAGTACAGTATTTAATAATTCGTACTTCTGTTTCTGGGTTCATCGTAGCTGAATTGACATAACGTTGGCTATTTTGGTAACCACAGAATCTGAAATAGTTAGTCTTTTGCTCTTGATTCATGTAAAAACCAAAATGCTATAAAAAATTGGGCCTTTCTTAGAGATTTCAGATGTGTGATTTGAGTCTCAGAAGTACTAAGCAATCCCTGGCTCTGTAAGTTAACAGAAACAGCTAGAAGTGAGAACATGAAATTGCTAGGTCAAGATTGAGGAGGTGACAAATTTCCAGACTGTAGCGTTATGACATAAAATAAAATAAGGACGTTCCTGTAGCAAACTTAAGAGTGCAACTTTGTGCTATGATGAAATGCTAGTTAGAAGATAGTTTCAAACTAGTTACAGAAAGTAGTCCTAATTTTTACTCTCAGGCTTGGAAAAAGCTGGCTTGTGTTTTGGCAACATAGAAATATATATCTCTATAAAATTTGCACCTTGTTCTTGGAATAAGCAGTTTAAGATCTTTTACGTCAAAAGCTGTGCAAAGACCCATTATTCTTTATAAGCTCCCATTTTATGTATGCATTTGGAGAGTGGGAGAGCCATTTGAAATGTATTTTCTTTCTTAGGAATACAAGCAACTTTCTAAAGAAATAAAAAATCTTAAAGATTTATTGAGTCAGCACGGTATTGTGTACAAAGGAAGTTCTGGTGAGTTTTTTGCTATTATTCTTTTTCATTATTGTCTATTCAGAATGTGAATACCTGAATGTTGTTTTTGGTTACAGCAAGGATTAAATCTGTCATATATGGAGGTAAAATTCAGTAGACAAAGTTTTTAGTAAGTACTTACGTCTGCGCAAGAGGAATTATTTTGCTCCCCAAAAATCTGTTGATGACTAGAACTTTTAGCTTTATAGAAAAATGTTGACTGCTGTTGTAATTGAAGTTTGTCTCCAGTACTTAAAAGTGCCAAAAAAAAAAAGGAATTTGGTGTTACAGCATTCATAGCACATAACCATCTTTCAGGTAACTCCACTTTCTGCATAGTCAGCCACAAGGCCTGACTTCAAGAACATTTCAAACGTTCTCTGTCTGTTTGAATTGTTTTTATCCTTTCTTAGGTTTTTTTTTTCCCCCCTCGTTGATTTCTGTTAGTACCATCTCACATGCAGTTTTTAGAAGAAAAGACCATTTGGTACTGGCTATGAAGAAGCAAGGCTTATCTGAATTAATTCCAGACAAGTTGATTTTTGTTTTGTTGTTTTTTTTGTTTTTTGGGTGGGGGTGGTTTTTTTGTGGTTTTTTTTTTTTTTTTTATTCCTGCCCCCCCATTCCTTCCAGTCCATCGTGCCCATTATTATATGAACTATTTGTCTACGGAGGATTTAATTTCCCTGAATATATATTTACATCTTTTATGTTCAGATTTGAGACCTCAGGAAAACAATGAAGCTTTGAGCTAATTAATTTAGTGTAAAATTAATGACATACTTAATTTTTTCTTTTTGTTTTGAGAAACTTTCTTCTCTATTTTTTTTAAATTGGTGACTTTTCTAGGGAAAATTCATTATATAGAATTTTGTAAAACGTTTAATCCCTGTTTAAACTATTAACTATGTAACTTGCACAGTATTTCTGCCTGTTTAGTAGTTCATTTAATTATTGCAGATTAGAACTGTATAATCGAAAGCTGAATTCAGAGCTTACTCTAGATGACTTATTTCAAAACTTTTTAGTGAATTCTGTGACAAAAATGTTTTGGTGGTTAAAAGCAGAATGAACTGATGTCTTAAACTAAATACTGCAGCTGAAAATACCGGTGTTGAACATGTGAGTCACGAACTGGCAACTGCAGTGACAACTGTTCTTAATGGGTCAAAGGATGATGAGTACCTGCATGGCGATACAGGAATTTGGAATGACACTGTATGAAGAAATTTGGGTGGTAAACAGCAAGTTCACACGGAATGTCAAGCAAGCTGAATGTGTATTGTGGCACGAAGATGATTTACCTTCTGCGAGTATTCCTGACTTTCTGAATTTCTGCCCTAAAACAAAGGGAACATAATGGAGCAAGGGCTTACCATTACTGAGAACAGTTGGCTAGTTTCTGAGAACATTTGTAAAACTTATTTGCTAAGGCCAGTAGTGGGCATAGGTTTACAGATTCTGTGTCTCAGGTCCCAGCTTTGTCATTTTCTTTGATCAAGCATGGTAACAGGTGGTGTAAATGCAAAATAGTTCCAAGACAGTGCTGCAATCTGTTGTATGAAAGGTAGCAAGTACAATACTTCATCCGTATGCTAAAATATTTTTGGTGTGGACTTCAGCCAAAAAAGAAATGTTTTCCGCCAAAGCAGTGCAGAATGCACCACTCCACCCGCCCATGTTCAGAGGTTGGTGTCATCGTTGTATAGCAGGTGGATAACATGAAAGCTGTTCAGGATCTGATGGGAAAAGGCGCTATGAAAACACCAAACTGTTGTAAAAGAATAGTTAAGGGAATACACGGCAATTCTCTGTATGCAATATGGAATAAAATGCACTCTTCCAACACAAGCTGCGCACGCATTACTGTAGAAGTCGGCGGAGGGCGCCGTCGCCAGTCGTTTC